CATTTTTTCGTCTGAAATAAACATTTCTCTCACTAATCGAGAACTTGTTTACTGCTGATTCAAGTGAATCTATTCTCGATAATATTTATTCTTCACTTTTTAGATGCCATCAGTATCACAAGCAAACATTTTTAAAGAAGCTAATCTTGTTTTCGGTGTGAGTGGAAGTGGCAAAAGTTCGACAATTAATAATCTATGTGGTGAAGAGATATGTAAAGTCGGCGATGATGAAAGTTCTGTAACACAAAACTGTAAATTAGTTTGTGTAGAACGTAAAAATTCAACTTTTTATGGAAAATATTTTTTGGATATGCAAGGTTATAATGATACTCGACCAGAACATAATCAAGCTAAAATATTTGAAACAATGAAATTATATTTTCTGGAAAGTGATATAACAATAATAAAATCTATTATATTTGTTATTAATATATCGGAAGCAAGAACTAATTTTTATCGACGATTTTCTGAATTTTTAGCTCAATTATTTCAAAAAGATCAAGTTGAATCTAATTCGATTGTTATATTAACAAAAGGTGATAGATTAGTACCAGAAGAAAAAGAACAGAAAATTGAAAGTATTCGAAAAAGTTTATCAGAACTTGTAGCTAATTATGGATGGCCTGCAATGCAAATAATTGAATGGTCAAATAAAAAAGGAAAAGCATTACCAAATCAAGAAGATAAACTGTATAATGCTATTCAACAACTTAATGGATTTAATTTAAAAACAGTATTAAAAGAAGTAGAAAAGGAAATTGAATTAAAAGTCCAAGACCTTTATGATTCGCCTGATAATATTATAACATTGAAACATGCTGCAAAACAAGAATTAAAAGAGTTTCAAACTGATCGACAAGTAGAAGATCATATTGTAATTAATTGTGATAGAATAGAATATGTTACTGTGCCGGCTCAAACTGAAGAACGAACATCAATTGCTGTAAAACTGGTGCATTTCAGTGGACATATCGCCGATGAAGCTGGAGATGTTGGCAAAACTTTCATGAATATCTTTGGCACAGTTGGTGGTATATTAGGCACCAACTATATTGTTTCGGCACTGACGGGTAGAGACTATTTCACAGAAACTAAAGACCTACAATTTGACCATAAAGTTACAAGTATTACATTCGACAAAACTCCTGCTGATATTCGTCTTCTTGATCGGTTGGATTATACCATAGATCCAACAGATCAACGTCGGGTAAAAGTTTCTGCATATCTTTCGTGGGGTGGATCTCCAGTTCTTAGCTGGGACTTCGATATGAGAGTAACTGCAACACTCAAACAAACTGTCGTCACAAGAGAAGAATACAAAAATAAAGTTGTCATTCCACAACAACGAATTGAAAAAATTATAAAAACTGTTACCGATACGGAACAAAGATTAGTTACAGTAAAAGAAGCATATGAAGAAAAGATACATAAACGTACAAAAGAAGAAATTAAAAAATTATTAATTCAAGAACGTATCAACAAATTATCATAAGAAAATCTTTTTTCTATGTTTTGAAAAATCTATTTTTTTTTGTGATAATTAAATAAACAAGAATAAACTATGAAAAAGGATAAGATTCAAATGATATTTGTCTTTTTGATTTAATTTTAATATTTAAACTCTATATTCCACTTAAATATCCTCCTATACGAAGTATCAGTTACATTCTCTCTTAATTTACATCGTCGTTTCATTAACAAATATTTCTATAATCAAAAAAGACTAAATAAATCAGTGATTCGAATTAAAATTAAGTGTGGTAAAAATGTAGTAGATTCGTATCTAATAAAGAATTGATAAAATAAAATAATGCAAAAGATAAAAGATTTAATTTATGTTAATAAACAAATACATATGAGATTATAATATGACTTCACATTTACTAATAGGTTGATCATATCTGCCTGTGTATTATCAGTGGCAGAATTCAAGAATTTTGATAAATTTCTAAATAAGACTACTTGGGTGTGTGGGTGACGGTCGATCTAGATGAGGTAGAGGAAGTCCCAAACACATCTATACCCTCACACTTACACACTCACATCCACCTACCCACACTCGCACGCACACCCACACCCTTAAAGGAAAACAATCACTAAAATTTTTTTGCACAAAAAAAAGAAGAAAAATTAGTTGTTAGAATTGTGATATTTTATTTCCCCTATTTTTCTTGAATTAAGCATATCGAAATATGAAATATAAAGTGAAAGCATAGATTAGTTTATATTAAATCTATATCGACAAAGATATGAAGAGATTCTATTTTGGTAAAAACTGTTTCATTGATGAAATATTCATTGTAACATGAAATTAAACATCAAAGTCCTTTCTATCACTCCACCAAGGAGAGAACTTTTTCTTTGTCCATTCTTTGATCTTAACAAAAAGGCAACGACTGTTTGCCTTAGATGATTGACACATGACTCTGTATAATCTGCACATTTCATTTCCTTAGACACATTCTTTTACACATTGGTTTAATTAATCTTTCTCAATAACTCTTGTTTCCTTTTGTTTTTTATATTAAAATATCTTCCTTTTTCTGCTGCTTAATTACTCACATTTCTTCATTTCATTCAACTTATCTTCAGCTTATCAAAAATATTTGATCAGTAAAAATCTTTGAATTCGACCATTATTTTGATCAGTAACAAATGTTTCCAGAACGATCGAAACTCAAACTAAATAGATAGCGCAACTGATTGGACTGTGAACCCATTCAATAACATTGAACTAAACATCGAAAACCATTTAAGTCTGAACCAACAATGCGATCAATCTGCTGATCTACAATGAATTAGTACTTCTCCACATCTAACATGATTGCATTGAGAAAATCTAGTCTAATTGTTGGATTTAGTGATGTACTTCCAGCCACTGTGGTGCCATTTGATTCTCCTGACTGAAATAACTGAGCTCGATGATTAAAAGAATCTGTCACATATTAATCCAAATTCACATCAACAAAGATTCCATCAGGACCATAGAGTTGATTAGAGTCTGATCCATCAATATCTGTTCCAGCAGCAACACGATTTGAAGTCATCAGAGAATCATTTAATGATCTTTTCACTACTTGATGTTGATCAGGCATTGAGCAGTAAAGAATAACATTCATATCGACAAACAAACCCCAGCATGATGACTTGACATTCATCAACGTGACAAAGGTATTTGTTTCTACTATCCATCTGTGCATTCGACCATTCTCAGCGCTATTATCAATATAAATATCACCATTTGATGTCACGAAAAGAGAACAGGATTCCGTAAAATTACCATGAATGACCTTTGTTGGATTGACGCTCTCTTCATGCCATATTACAAATGTGCTATTTTCTCGATTAGCGACATAAACTCTGTTATTTGTGTTCACAAAAATGGCGTTAGCATATCGACCAACAATCGATCGATTAGCAATAGCAATTCCATTGGAATCCTAAATAGATGCTGAAGAAAACTTTGGTTGATTGAATGAAAGAGCTAAAACAAGAAAAATAGAAAGAATATTAGAGAAGAACTGTAAACGAAATGAAATTGTTAATTTATGTTTTTTCTTGAAAAAATTCGTCGAGATTAATTTTGAAAACATTTCTATGATTGTTGTTCTATTTTCTTGGATGTTTTGTAAATATGAACTTACAGAGCGCTGAATTTATCAAAGGAGATCATCTTTATTTTTCGATTTTTTTGTTGTAAAAGAAAAATAAATATGTTCGAACTTTGAAAAGATATGATTATTATTGAAGACAAAAAAAATAAGTATAGGACTTTTTTTATTTGTTCAATAAAAATGAACTCGAAGGAGGAAAAAAGAATCGTTTAGAATGACAATGACTTTATTGAAATTGATGAAGATCTAAACAAAATGTCGTTGAAATTCAAAATCTATTCTCATTTGCATATGAAAAACATTCTGAATTTATTCATGCTAAATCATTTCGATTGACTCTAATATTTGAAAAAGAAAAGAAAATAGTCTTGTTAATCTTTAATGAAGTAGTCATTCGAAGAAATTATTGAAGAAAAATATTTTGAGATGAAAATCGAATGAAAATAATCTTTTTTTTTCTTATCAATAATATATTTTTGTTTCTTCTCAAATTCCTATCAAATTAAACAAAAGAAATTTCTAATCGATCACAAGGAACCTTATATTGAACAAAACTAATTTCCTTTTAATTTTTTGTCAAATGATAATTAAATCCAATCAAACTTTTCCTCTTCTTTTTTTTCATCTCATTATTTCAACTTGAATATATTGAGAAGATTTTCAATAATCATCGGTTCCTTATAAGCATGAGAAAAACTCCTATGTATTTGACCTTTGATTCAAATTTTATCTTACTTAACAACAATATTCTTTTATGATAGTAAAGTGATAAATATGGTAGTGTCAATCATGAATTTGTACTTGCAAAGTAGTTCTAATTACATTATCATATGATTGGTACTCTTTCTTCCTGGTAAATGTATTTATTTCTACAACTTAAAAGTTAAAATTTTCTCATAAGTAATCCTATTTTTAAAGTGTCGTTAAAGAATATTTATCATTTCATTGATCAATTAGGTTCATTTTTACGAGATAATTTTATATGTTCCAAAACAAGATTCTTTCCGTTTTCTTCAATTCAAAAGTTTTAAATCTTTTTCAATTTCTATAAGAATAAATAATATGTATAGACGTGGATGCTCAACTGACTTCATACTTTACTTTTATTTCTATCCATAAAACTCTTTGGGCACATCAGACACAATATAATAATTTTATCATAGTCATGGTATTTTTTATATAATGGAGAAGATGATCTGTATGATATAAATGGATCTAAATCTTATTTCAAATCAAAATAGTCAGATAATTTCACAAAACTTTGTTTTCATTTACATTAACCTGTTCATCTTTTCTTATTTTCATTTTGAATTCATCAGGAAAAGTCAATTAATCCTTTTTTCCATATTTTATAATGCGGTATGATGCAAATAGATTTCTTTCCTTTCTCTTGTATCTTATTCTCGTCTCAAGATCCACAAATAAATTTGATAGTGAGAGAAGATTTCAGTAATGTTCAAGTTTTCAATCATTTTGAAACTATCAATTGATACAAACTCAGATATATACAATACTATCAATTAGTATTACAGCTTATACTTTTAAATTTAATATACACTCATTCTTCAAACCACAAAAAAGCCTCGCATATACGTTACAAAAGATCAGTACCAACACTTTTAAATATATAATAGAAATCCTGCCAAATTCTATAATCTATTATTTGACTCTATTTTGTTCAACTAAAGCTCTAATGAATAATGTCATTTGTATAATAATTAATCTTCAATTTGTAGTAAATAGAAGTATTTACCTGATGCTTCATTGTTGAGAATGAACAGAAGAATAATGATAAATATGTAGATATTCCACACCACCCAACAAGAGTTTTTTTTGATAAATTAGTTAACTAGTAAAATAATCTTTTTTTCTTCTTCTTTGTTTTCAATGAAAACAAAATGACACTCGCTGTAGATTTTCCTCTAGTTATATATCTCTTTTTTCTCTCATTCATTTCCTTCAACATAAGATAAAGAGAAAAAATAGTATTCTTAGGAAGATTTCATCGTAGTTAAGAGGAAAAACTGATTTTAGATTGGATTAATGAACAAAATCGATGATTTTATTTGGTATTCTTCCTTGAATTTCATTCTTTTCAAAATTTGAAAACACAGAGTGGAAGTTAAATTCAACATGGTCCTTTTCTTTTTTTTTGATTTTATAGCAAATCTTTCATTTTAGTGAAGAAGAACATGATAAAGAGAAAGGAGAGAATTGATGAAAATCTGCATTCATCATCGGACGTGTTTTAACTGAAAATAAGATGACAACAATTATCGTCAATAAATAAGTCATGATGAGTTTGGTGTCTTTTTTTATTTGATTCTATTAAATAATCTGCTTTGTCAGAAATCATTTTAAGTCACGTTCTATATTTCTCTATGCGTAAAAAGTATCTGTGAGAAAAGATTCCTTCTTTGAATATTTTGATCTGTTTTAGAATAAAAACTCATGAGATATATAAAAAGCAGAATTATTTCTCACCATACGATGTATTTTTCTAAGAGACATGAAAAATATGCATAGATTCAATTTTAAATTCAATATATGCAAAATCAAAACTCTAAAAAAAACATCTCTGATTGATACTGATGGGGGAGTGTGTGGATGAAAGAAGACTATACTTTCCACATCTTTGCTCATACACGCATACTCATATCCTTCATTATATACAAAACATTCTTAACTAATCTGAAGAATATTTATCCTATAAAATAATTGAAAATCAGCAAAGTTTGATTTTTCAAAGAATTTATTACTATGTTAAGATGTTTTATTGCAATAGTCAAAATACATAACAATTACTGGCATACACACACAGAATATAGATATATTATTAAAAAAAATAGAGAAAGACTAGGCATTTGATTTCTATTGGACTAATTATCATTAGTCCATTATTGTTGTTTTTCATTAATTTTTTCATTTGCTAAATGATTTAATTCATTCCTAAAATTAACTAAACGATTATTATCATTAGCACAAAATGCTCGAAAATCAGCTAACATAATATCTTGATATTTTTCTTCACCTGCTTGAGAACTTCGCCATCTTTTTCCTAAACAAAAATTCCAGCTCCAATAAAATCCATAATCAAGTGGAGATAATTGATAATCACAAGTTATTCCTGTTGATACAACACGTGTTGGTCGATTATTATAATGAACATTATAAACATTTGATATTATATAAACTAACATACCACCACTAATATGAACATAATAAATCTTTTCATTCTTATAACTTACACAAGCATTTAAAATAAAACCATAACTAGAAATATTTTTATTCAATAAACAGGAAATAAATTAAATTCAAGAAACCGTTTTAAAATAAGTTCTTGAAAGATATTTATTCCAAGAATTTGATCTTCATCAGGAAGATTAGCAAGTTTATCACGAAGCCATAACGAATTTATTTTTATATAAATTGAACCTAAATTATATAAAAGATAAATATACAAGAACTGTCTATGTATAGTTTTCCATCTATGAAAATTCATTAGTATGTATATATTTCATGAGAATACCCAATAGTTTTCATATCATGCTTTCTTCTAAACTCTACCTTTTATTTTTAAATAGTCGAGAAGTATGATGATTGATTAGATAAAATAACAATATCTCTAAATGCATCAAATTCAGCAAATGGATCACATGGAATTGGTACAAGATTAAATGCAACTTGGTTTGAACCAAGTATTTTTCTTGTACGTTGTGATCATTGTGTAATTAGATCTACAAGTATACATGATGTAGCTACAAGCCATCGAATTTCAAGTTCAAATAAAGAATGTGGATTATAAAATAAATGATAATATGCTGTTGTCCGTTCACGTCTATGTGATATATGTTTTGGATCAACATTAAGATCGCGTTCAAGAACAACTGATGATTTTTCTAAATCTTGTTTATCTGTATTTTAAATAGAAGATCAATCGACATCATTTTGTTGTTCGAACTTTTATTAGTCAATTATCAATTAATTTTGATAATAAACGCATTGGTTTACATTCACCAAAACCTAAATAATCCATTGATGGAATATATGTTTGAGTTTGATGAGACTCAACTTCAACATAATCATTTAAATCAAGAGAAACTAAAATATAAATATAAAAATAATTTCAGAAAAAACAAAAATGTATTTACAAGTTTTGTTTTTTCTGTTACAATATAATATAGAAAAAACTTACAACGAAAACTTGTTTCCCTATTTGTACAATGTCGAATATGTCCTTCAGTAAATAAAAACTACAATAAAATAAAATAAAATAAAATATTAGAATTTCATTTTCTTTTTTTTATGAAAAATCTACTTGAAATAAATTTAAAGCTGTTTGTTTATTTTGTATATCTTCACAATGATCAATTGACTACCAAACAGCTTTAACTGCAATGAAACTATGTTCTCGTAATACAGAGTCCTTAATAAATAATAAACCTTGCTGATCATTTTGAAATAAATTTAATAAACTATTTATTGCATCTTTATCACAAGATATTATATCAGCTAATTGAAATGTTGCAACTGTAATTCTAAAAATAAAACAAAAAATTTAAATTAAGAGAAATAATAAAGCAAAATTATTTTACAAAGTTTTTCCCTGACGTTTAGAAAGATCTGTTCGTTTTTACCTATTAATGGATCGACAGGCTAAAATAATAACAAGAACAGACTCTCTTTTTTTTAATAAAAAAATGAATTTTTGTTATATTTTACTCGGTGTATACATTCAGTTGATCCAATGAATACTCGATTCAGTTTGTTGAGCATAAATAAAAGTCGAACAATGTTCAACGTAAAGAAAAAAATCTTCATGTAACATTTCTTCGTAACTATCATATTTTGTTTGACTAGATTCAATATTTTTGATTGTATAATCTATTGATAGACATAAGAACAAGGCGTGTATATCAATATTTTGTTAACTACAAATAAATAAAAAATTTATTATAATCCAATAGAAGTGCTTATTCTCATCTATATATAAGAAATAATATCAAAATCAAATGTATCTTTTTTGACAAGCGAAGAGTTGTCTATATATTTTCAGTTTCTCATTGATTTACTATTCTATAAATTTCAATCCTTGGTTGTAAACCAAATGAACTGATGGATTATTGTAAAGACAACAAAGATTAATTATAATCATATTCATTTAGTCAAAATGAGTGTAAGTATTCGTTCTTCATTCACATTCGCATTCATCCTCACTCACATTTTGAATTCTTCGCTTTAACTAAAAACATGTTAATATGTTTTCATACATCAATAATAAAATGTTTATTCTCTTTTAACTGAAATCACATCAGACAAAAAAAATGTAAACTGTCACTAAAATAATCATATGATGTTTTGTCAAAAATTAAATCATTGTTTATAATATGAATGTAAATATGCTATGATTGATTGTAATCCCATTTAGGTTCAAAATCAGCTGATACACTTTCGATAGCAGGATAAAGGTTTTCATCATAATTTTCGAGATCTTCCATCCCAAATGTTGAGTAACGTTTAACCAAAGCATGTCGCACAGCCATCCAAGCTTGTCTTTGTTCTCTTGGTGGTTTGGAATCGTCATATAAATCACCTGTTTTTGATTTTTGTTCTAAATCATCTAACCATTCTGGCGCGCGTTCCGCATAATATTTCTTTTTCGGATGGAATTTTGTTTCACCGATATAAATAGAGGCTGTTAACCACAATTGATAACATAACCATAAAAGCGGTTTTTTTGTGTCACGGACTTTCCAACCATAAAATGCGCTTGCTAAATGGCGTGTACTATAATGTTTTGTATGATTAATTTCAGTATTATCGCATTTTGATCCACAACTTGGACATGTCGATTGACAACCAAGACGTGTTTTTATTAGATCTGTGCATGATTCTTCCGCTGCAGTATCAAATATATCTTTGCATTTAACAACTTCTTCGTACATATTTGTTCGATCTGATAATAATTGTTTAAAACTTTCTTTAAATCGATCTGGATCTTTTATTTCACTTGA